ACTAAGATTTTTTCTTATATTTTCTTCTAGAAGTTGTATAGTTTTAGATTTTATGTTTTGAGTTGATTCTTGCCTATGATGTGAAGTATGGGTTGAAGTTCATTTTTTTTTTCCACAAGGATGTCCAATTGTTCTAGCACTATTTGTTGAAAAGATTGTCCTTTCTCCAGTGATTTACCTTGGCACCACTGTGTGAGTCTCTTTCTGGACTCTTATGTTCTATTGACGTATATATCTGTCGTTCGGCTGAGACCTCACTGTCTTGATTACTGTAACTTTATGGCAAGTCTTGAGGCTAGATAGTATGAGTACAAATTTTCTTCTTCTTTTTTTTTTTTTAAAGATTTTATTTATTTATGTGACACAGAGAGACACAGCGAGAGAGGGAAAACAAGCAGGGGGAGTGGGAGAGGGAGAAGTAGGCTTCCCATGGAGCAGGGAGCCTGATGTGGGGCTTGATCCCAGGACCCTGGGATCATGACCTGAGCCGAAGGCAGACGCTTAACCGACTGAGCCACCCAGGTGCCCCACAAATTTCTTCTTCTTTTTCAAAATTGTTTTAGCTATTTTAGGCCCTTTGTCTTTTTGTATAAATTTTTAGAATAATTTTGTCAATTTATTTATTTATTTTTAAAGATTTTTATTTATTTATTTGAGAGAGAGAGAATGAAGAGAAAGAGAGCATGAGATGGGGGAGGGTGAGAGGGAGAAGCAGACTCCTCACCAAGCAGGGAGCCCGATGCGGGACTCGATTCTGGGATTCCAGGATCATGACCTCAGCTGAATGCAGTCTCTTAACCAACTGAGCCACCCAGGCGCCCGTCAATTTTTATTTAAAAGTTTACTGAGATTTTGGTTGGGACTGCATTAAACTTATAGATCAATTCAGAGACAGAATTAGCATTTTAACAATATTGAGTCTTCCAATCTATGAACTTGGTATATCTCTCCATTCATATAGATCTCCTTCAGTTTCTCTCGCTAATGTTTTGTGGTTTTCAGCACAAAAATCTTGCATATATTTTGTTTGATTGGAAGGTATTTTATGTTTAAATCTGATTATAAATGATATTGTGCTTTCTTTTTTTTTTTTAAAGATTTTATTTATTTATTTGACAGAGAGAGACAGCACGAGAGGGAATACAAGCAGGGGGAGTGGGAGAGGGAGAAGCAGGCTTCCCCCCGAAGCAGGGAGCCCGATGTGGGGCTTGATCCCAGGACCCTGGGATCATGACCTGAGCCAAAGGCAGACGCTTAACGACTGAGCCACCCAGGCGCCTGATACTCTGCTTTCAATTTCAATTTCCAACTGCTCATTGCTAGTATATAGAAATATGACTGATTTTTAAATGTTGATCATTTATCCTGCAAACTTGCTAAATTCTTTTATTGTTCTAGTGATCTTTTGTGTATTCTTTAGGATTTTCTCCATAGACTATCATTTCATTTGTAGATAAAGACAGCTTTATTTCTTCTTTTCTGATCTCTATGACTTTTATTTATTTTTCTTGACTTATTGCCTTTACGAACACCTCCAGTACGATGCTGAATAGAAGCGGTGAGAGATAGTATCTGGAACATGTGGTACTCTTGCTTGCCCAGGGCCTTTGCACGTGAAATGCCCTATGTTGAAATCATTCTCTTTCCTTGCTGCAGCCTTTTCTGTTAACTTATCCTTCATATTTCAGTTCAAGTATTGCTTCTTCAGGGAAGTTTCTTTAATTTCTTCAAATTTAGGCCATGTTCTTTTGTAATATACTCTTATAGGATCATGTTTCTTTTATTAAAATAATTTATAACAGTTTATATTTTTTCATTAGTGTGATTATTAGGTTGCTATCTTTCTAACTAGATTGTAAGCTCCAGGGGCCATATCTATTTTGCTCATCATTGGGTTTTTAGTGCCTGCACTTATTAGGTGATCAATAGATATTTGTTAAATACATGCGGAGCCAATAGGTAGCAGAAAAATGTAAGAGGCAGAAGATGAAGTGGGAAAGGTCGGTGAGGGCCAGGTCAAGGAAGGCCTTGTAGGCCATGAAGAGTTTGCACTTCCCTGGTTCTCAACTTTATTTTGCACCAGGTACACTGGGGAACATGTTATGAATGCAGGTACCCAAGTGGCACCCCCACTTGCAGAATAATACTCTTTGGTATTGGGGTCTGGGCCTCCATTTATTTTGATTTTGATTTTTTTAAAGATTTATTTATTTCTTAGAGAGAGAGGGCATGAGCGGGAGGGGCAGAGGGAGAGGGAGAGAGAGAATCTCAAGCAGACTCCCCGCTGAGCATGGACCCCAATGCAGAGCTCCATCTCATGACCCTGAGATCACAACCTGAGCCAGAACCAAGAGTCGGACGTTTAACGGACTGTGCCACCCAGGCACCCCTGGGCCTCCATTTATAACAAGTTCCCCAGGGATGCACCAAAGGCATCTGGGTACTGTTTCAGGATCTAGAGAGACATTGAATCTTGAAGCAGGAAAGTGTCATAATCATTTTACTTTTTGGCAAGACTACTCTAGCTGGATATCTTGGAAAGGTATGAAGGCAGAAGATTGGAGATTACTGCAATCATCTAGATAAGTGATAATGAATGCCTCAATTAAGGGAGGAGAATCAGTGGAAATACAGGGAAGAACATGGATTCAAGGGAAATTTAGAAGTTAGATTTGGCAGGTCTTGGTGTCTATTTGGATATACGGGGAATGAAGAAGTAAGAATACTAACAATAATAACCAACAATTATTGAGCACCTATGATATGCCAGGCACAATTCTACATGCTTTATACATATCATGATTTAGCTTCCTAACAACCATATGAGGCAGATTATAGTACCATCCCCAGGCCTTCAGGTGACTCCTAGCTTTCTCACTTTGGAAGGGGTGATGCTGTCCATCAGATGGGAATTATGAAAGGAAGACAGGCCAAGAGGGTGGCATGGTGAGACCCAAGGTGGTGATTGGAAACACAGTTCTGCAGCCCTCCTGAGCGTCTGGGAGCCATCACCCCGGAAGTGGATGGGATTGACCAGAAGAAAAGAGGTTGAGGCCAAGGCTCCCGGTCTGGCCTCTGTGGATGGATTTCCTGACTGCATGAGCCTCTTCAGTTATATGGGAGATGCTGACAATCTGTGATTGTGCCAAAGGAGTGTGCGTGGCCCACCAAGAAGATAAAGGACTACAGATACAGGTGGTGGGCAGGTAGAGAGGATTCAAGGATGAATATTGGAGGGGCGCCTGGGTGACTCAGTCGTTAAGCATCTGCCTTCGGCTCAGGTCATGATCCCAGGGTCCTGGGATCGAACCCCGCATCGGGCTCCCTGCTCGGCGGGAAGCCTGCTTCTCCCTCTCCCTCCCCCGACTCATGCTCTCTCTTTCTCTCTTGCTCTCTCTCAAATAAATAAATAAAATCTTAAAAAAAAAAGAAAATTGGGAAGGAATGGCCTGAGGGATAGTAAGAAATTTAGAAGGAGATGTCAGGAGGCCAAGGAAATAGTCTTTCAAGAAAGATGGAGTGGTCAGTGGTGTCCAGTCCAATATCATAGGTAGGTCAGGTAAGAGAAAACTTGAAAAGAGTCCACCAAATTCAGCTATTAGTTGATTGTTAGTGGGGTTTTTAAAAGATTTTATTTATTTATTTATTTGGGAGAGAGAGAGAGCACGCAAGTGTGGGGAGCAGGTTGGAGGGAAGATGCAGAGGGAGAGGGAGAGAGAATCTCAAGCAGACTCCCCCAGGAGCACAGAGCACGACTTGAGGCTCCATCTCACGACCCTGAGATCACCATCTAAGCCAAAAGCGAGTCAGAAGCTCAACTGACTGAGCCACCCAGGCGCCCCGATCATTAGTGGGTTTTTTTTTTAATATTTTATTTGTTTATTTGACAGAGAGAGACGAGAGAGAGGGAATACAAGCAGGAGGAGTGGGAGAGGGAGAAGCAGGCTTCCTGTGGAGCAGGGAGCCCGATGCGGGTCTCGATCTCAGGACCCTGGGATCGTGACCTGAGCCGAAGGCAGACTCTTAACAACTGAGTCACCCAGGCACCCCTGATTGTTAGTGGTTTTAATGATTTCTGTGGCTGGTGGCTGGGGTGGGGTAGGTAGTGTGAGGTGAGAATTGACAATGAATATGACCTCTTCTTTTGAGGAGCTTGGCTGTGGAGAGAGAGCTGTCAAGGGTGGAGGATGATTCCCCTCCCCTCTCCCCTTCCCTCTCTTCTTCCTCCCTTCCTTTTTTTAAGGAGGAGAGACTTGCACATGAATACAGGAAGAGGGGAGAAATCCGCGGCAGTGGGCATAGCAGGACGGGGGAGGAGACGCTTGATGGAGCAAGCTTCCCAGGGGGTAGAGTTGAGAGTGTGGGTGGAAGGCCTGGCCCTGAGCACAGGGTGGGCCACCTCCAAGAAGGAGTTAAGGGTGGGGATGAATACAGATAACAGGCGAGGGGGGCATTAAGGAGGTGGTGCCAGCCATGGAAACCCCTTCAGGCACCAGGAGTTTATGAGTCTGGTGCCTGGCAGAGGGCAGGTGTGATGATGTGTCTTTGCAGCTGAGGAGACACCCTCTTCTGCTCTGAAGACTCCACTGCCTTTTCCTTAGCCTGGGACACCCTACTTCTGTTCTGCCTTGTCCTCCTCCAGGAAGCCTTCCCGGATTGACACTCCCACTCTGCCCCTCCCAGCAGCTGGCTCAGCTCCCCATTCCTTCCTTGCCCCAGCACAGAGGCCAAGAGCTCCCCACTGGTTCAGTATCTGTCTGTCTGTGCCTGGCCTCTGGAGAGAAAGCACCCAGAAGGGGGAGGGGAGGGGACTAGAACGCGTGTGATTCTGTAAAATGGGTGGCTTCTCTCTCAAGCCTGCCCCTCCCCAGCTCTCAGGATGAGCTCTGGCTGGCCACAAGGGGGTGCTTGGCCAGAGAAGTTCTGGCTGCCATGGTCTGGGCATCCGGCCCAGTTGGCTGGCTGGCAGCTGGGGCCCCACTCTGGCTGGGACCTTTGCCCCCTACACCGATGGCCCCGGCCTCCGTTGCCATGGCTGCCCTTTAGTTTGGGGTAAACAGGGCTCTTCTTCCTCCTCCTGTCCAGCTTACTGACACGCAATTGTCTCTCCAGGGTTGGGCTGGAATTCCAAGTGTGCAGGTACCCCCCGCCCCCATCTTGGGAAGGCACAAGGTGGTGAGTCACTGAATTTACGTTTCTTTCCACACCCTCACTGTTATCTGGCTGCCCCCGCTGCTCCCCCCCTGCCCAGCCTATGTCCTGCTAGAACTGGGGAGGGATGAAGATAAGGGCTGGGCTCATTTGGTCTATCAAACAGGGTGGTGGGGTGTAGGGAGGAGCCTTCCCGTCCTGGATTACCTCCTTGGGGCTGTTTCTGGGCTGTGGAGGGCTTCCCAAGGCCTATCCATCCCTGGTATCAGTGAGAATAATCGCAGCCTCTTTTCTCCCTTATCTTCAGGATCCTGGGGGCCCAGGGTGAAGAAGAGGAGACGATAGGAAAAAAGGAATGTGGGGGAGAGGAAATAGGGACTCGTCGGGATAGAATAGAATCAGAGAACCATTCATTCCTTCCTTCTGTGAATCAAACGAATTTCTGTGCTGGTTATTGAGCAAGACAGAAACGTGTAAGACAGGAGCCTGCTTTTGAGCCTGCACTTGGTGCTGGTGTGAGGCCCTGGACTTGGAATTTGGGGACTCCATTTGGAGCCCCAGTTACTAGTTGCTGGGCAAGTTACTGTAATGATACTAAACCCTCAAGGTCATTGTGAGGACCGAATGAGACAAATATCGGAGACTGCCTCATTAGCCAATGTTCAAGCCACGTTAGATGCCTGTGGATCAGGTTTATAATTAGGGAGGTGCTCAGGCAAGGGTGACCCAGCCCAGGGGCATAACAAAGGCTCGTTTTGGGGGTCTCTGTGGGAGTGGTGACTTCCAGCAGTGGTGACCCGGGCAGGCTGTGTGGGCAGGTGCCTGGTGTGTGATTTTCATTCAGTAAATGTTTGCAGAATGAATGGGGTGTGCTGGAGCCAGGGCTGGCAGGAGGGCTAAGATTTCAGCAGGTGCAGGTGACAGGGAGGTGCTGTGGGAGGAAGGCCCGGCCCTGGGGCTGGGGCAGGGAGGCAGCTAAGTGCCAGCCAGGGAAGGCTCAGCTCAGCCAGAGGAGGAGTTTGACCTTTATTCTGAAGGCAAAGGGAGGCTCTGAGCTGGGGAGTGACAGGATCAAAGCGGTGTTTATGGAAGATCAGTCTGGCTGGGCCTGGCCAGAGGACATCTTGGAGCAAAGTGACTGGGGGAGATGGAGGGGGGCAGGGCCAGAGGGCCAGAGGGAAGATGTGTACGTGTCTAGGAGCTGCAGAGCGGGTGATGATGTCTGCTCCCCTCCGCTCTGCAGACCCGCACGTCTCCAGGGCCCCTCTCACCTGCCTGCAAGAAGGAGGAGGGAACATCGCAGGGAGAAAGAGAATTTCTCAGGGACACAGAGAGCAAGGCAACACTGCCTCCTGCCTCCTCCTTCCTCCAAGGGACTGGGAGCCCAGCTCAGGGTATAGGGGTGGAGGGGAAGACCAGGACTGGAGCTAGGACCTGGGTCCTTTACTTTTCTGGGTCCTGCTCCTGTCCTCTAAGAGGAAGTGTGAGTCGATGTGGTTTTTAAAGCTAAGGAGGGGTGCCTGGGTGGCTCAGTCGGTTAAGCGTCTGACTTGATTTCGGCTCAGGTCGTGATCTCAGGGTCCTGGGATCGAGCCCCGCATTAGGCTCTGGGCTAAGTATGGAGTCTGCTTGCCCCTCTCTCTCTGCTCCTCCCCCCACTCACTGGCTCTGTCTCTAAAATAAATAAATAAAATCTTAAAAATAAATAAATCTAGAGAAATAATTAATGGTGGCAGAGAGAGAGAGAGAGGACCTATTACGCTCCAGGAACAGCTGTGCATGAACCCCAGAGCTCAGTAGCAGGAGGCTGAGATGACAGTGCTGTCCAGTTCTGGGCCTGGACTTCCCTGGGGCGGCGGGGAGATTTCTGGCTTGGGCTGCTAGTAGGAGTTTGAGACCTTAGCCTTTGCTGGGACCAGTCATCCTGATCCATGTCTTCTCCCCCTTTGCTCCCAACCTCCTTTGGTCCCATTTTCTGATGGATCCCATACCCTGGAAGCATGCTGCCAGGCGCACTATCCCTGCAGCCCCCCAGCTCTGACTCAGTCTGAGCTCCTGGGAACTCAGAGGTAGCTAGTTTTGCTCTCTGGAGGTGGGGACATAAGGTTTCTGACCCTGGATGGGCCCATTCTCTGTGAGACAGTCTGTTGTATAGACATACACCTCCAACTGCATTCCTCCGGGGGGCCTGACCTTGCCCTGCCTGACTCATTCTGTGTTAGGAATTGCAGACCATTGGAGAGCACCACTTTCAGAACCTGCCAGACCTCCTTCCCTGAGGTCATTTCCCCATTGTCCCGGCCTTGCTGTGCTTTTGCCCCTTTGAGGCCTGCCGCCCCTGCTCTCCTCCATTCCTCGGCTTCTGGGCAGGCCTGACCCCATCTAAGTGTGAGTGGGGAGTCCCAGCACGGAGACTCCTTCGAAGGAGCACCCCCTTCCCTGGTCACTCATTGCTACTCTTATTATTCCTTAGATGAGCCAGTCCTTTGTCCAGTCTATCCTTTCGCCCCTCTCAGTGCTCAGTGAAGGAGAGGATGCTGTCTTGTCCACTGGCTAGTACTGCGGTAGGAGGGGACTATGGGTGACTCCAGAGTGTAGTCGAGAGTGTGCTTCATCACAGGGGCCCTTTCACTGAGGGACGGAGATGAAGGACAGGAGGAAGGGTGAGATCTTGGAGAAGAGTCTGTGGTTTTCTCTCATTGCAGTAGGGATCCTAAACAGGGCCTTTACAGGGCAAAGAAGAGCTCTGACAACTACTGTCATCACCTAATTTATTTGACATACGAGAGACAAAAAGCTGAGAGCCCAAACCAAGCATGATTTCAAGTTTAGTGCTGTCCCCGCTGTGCTGCAATAACTTTGGGAAATTCAAAGTTCTAAAAACCGAACTGATTGATTGGTTGGGTGGGGAGGGGTAGAGAGAGAGGGAGAAGCAGGCTCCATGCTCAGCACGGGGCTCTATCTCATGACCCTGAGATCACGACCTGATCTGAAATCAAGAGTCAGACACTTAACCAACTGAGCCATCCAGGTGTGCCCCAAACCAAATTAATTTAAATGAAATTAAAGGAATTCCAGAAATAAATGGTCCTGCTCCTTCATTATAGAGACACCACTGTAGCTCAGAGAGGCGAAGTGACTTGTCCAGTGTCACACAGCAATTTAGAGACAGTTGAGATTAGAACACATGTGATTTGATTTCCAAATTTATGTTTTTCGACTACTCTACGTTGTTCTAGGGATTGTTTAAAAACAATTCTCAGTTCCCTTTCATTTCATTTAATCACAAATCCAAGAGCACTGAGTGGTGGTAGAAAGTGCAGAAGTGAAAGGATTTGAGGGTGTGTTAGCTCACAGGGTGAGGAGGAAGGGTGGAGAGCTGGGAGGTCGATTATGCCAGGCAGCTGCTCAGCTGTTCTGGAATTCCTGGGTCTTCCCAGATCAGCAGGGCCACTTCGGGAGGCCTTCCCTTCTGGAAGGCATCTTCCTTTATCAGAGGGGCTGGCTGATTGGATCAAAGCTTTCCTCCTGGCCTGGAGAATCTACATGGCTATCTTCTGCCTCTCTCTGGCCTGGCTCTGGCTAGACCCAGGGGCCTGGGAAACCTCACTTTGGGTTTCAGAGCTAGAAGGTTGGGTTGAATTCTGATCCTGATGCTCAAGTGCTTTGTGACCTTAGGAAATATTTTGACAATTTCTGAGCTTCCCTATCCTACGGTGTAAAATGAGGCTGTTTGTACTTTCCCTGTAGGCTTAAGTGTGACGATCGAATGGGGTTATAAAAAGTCTATGGTGTGGGGAGTGCCTGGCATCTGGTACGATCTTGGAGGGGGAGGGAAGCAGGGAGGAGAGACATGGCTTGGGAGGCAGACAGGGCCCAGTTCGGCCTCTCCCAGCTGCTACTGCACAGCACAAGCTTTTCTTAACTTCCAGGCTGTTTCCTCAGCTCTAAAATAGAGATAATGCTTATTTCACAGTTTCTGTAAGGATTAAAAGTGGTCATTACCGTCTTAGGGGAACTGCTAGGCCACTGGGGGATGCCTGAACTCACGCCCCAGTCTGGCAGACCAGGTCAGAGCTGAGGGTATCTAATCACAGTCCAGGCTTGGAGGGTTGGGAGAAAAGCCTGGGAGGTCTGGGAGGGCTTCCTGAAGGAGGTGCTTGGGGTGGAGTCACGCTGGAGGGACAGTGAGAGAGAGAGAGAGAGAGAGAGAAGGAGAGTCCCTGGTCTGGTGACCTGCTCAGGGAGAGAGAGAGTTTGCTTCGGAGCCGACTGCCACGTGGAACAGGGTCTGGCTGTGGGTGGGAAGGGGCGCCTGGGGGTGGAGGGTCAACGTGGCTGGATGTGGGAGCCATGGAAACCAAGGACCCATGGATCTAGGAGGAGGCCTGGGGAGCTTGACTTCTGCAGCTGGACACTTCTGAGTCAGAAGCACAAATCTGGGAGGGAAATGGCCCTCTCCTTGGGTAGGACTTTCTCTCCTCTGCCTCCTATCCGCTGGAGGCTGCTTCTGCTGCCCAGGCTTCTCTTAGTTTCCTGAGATGAATCACCAGGGAAACCTGCGGAGTCAAGGAAGGAGATGGGGCAACTCCTGGCCTTGGGGAATAGATGGCCTTAGCCTGGAATTCTACTGGGAGGGCAGAAACACACACAGAATTGCGTTGCCATGGGAGCTTGCCTAACACTTCCCTGAGGCTAAACCTGCCCAGCCCCAGACTGCCCCACGCCCCCCCTTCAGAGCCCATTCCTACCTTCCAGGTCAGCAGACTTGCCCAAAGACCTATGAATGAGTCAATGTATCCTGCTTTAGGGTTACCTCAGGCCTTAGACACCAGGGAATCTGGGAGGTAGGTTGGTTACCGAGGGTAGGTAGCAGGGCTTTCCTGGATCCGAGCTGCTCATTTGTGAATTCATTCATCATATGTTTGGTGGAGTGCTTGCTAGGCATTTTCTAATGCTGTAAACCTGGCCGTCAACAAGATGACGTCAAGGTCCCTGCCTTCATGGGAGAGGTGCCCTAAGTCTATCAGAATCCCTACAGTAAGAGGGGTGATGTAGATGTTTGACAAATACCAGTCGAATGAATGCAATATGTATTTTTCAGATGGCTAACTAAAAGAAGAAAAATGTCTTTGGACCATTACTTCTGGGTTATCCACATGACCGCTTCCCTCGATGGAGCGCTGGAAAGAGCTTGCTCAGGCTGCGGACCGACTCCAGACTCAAGGTCAAGTCTTGAAGGACTTTCAGTTTCCTCCTCTGTAAAAAAGGCTTAATGGTACCCTCCTCATGGGTTATTTTAGGATGGCAAATAATATAGGCGAGAGATCTGACACTTGGACATAAGCGGGAACCCCATAAATGAGAGCTGCCCCCATGAGCCCCACCGTTCCCACCACCACCATCACCACCACTGGTAGGGAACGGAGCCCTGGGTTGAGAGCTGGCGAAGGCAAGCTGTGTCCCCGGGACAGGGCTCGGTTTGCATGGCCGGCTTCTTCGGAATTGGATTTGCAAGCTTCTGTTTTGCATGGTGGCAGATTTCTGCATCGTCCCCTTTATTACTCTCTTCTAGAGTCCTCCTACGGCCCCAGCTGCCACTTCCTCTAGTGGCCCTCTGCCCTTCTGAGCCAGCCGGCGCTCTCTCCCCCCTGGGCACCTACTACCGTGGGTTGGGCAGGCACGTTGGAGGACACGAAGACTCGAGAGACGCTGTTCCATCCTGCAAGGCGGAGACCAGGACTTAAATTCTTACAAGGCCACTGTGTCAAAGTGGGTGTCAGCACAAATTCCTGACTAGGACAGGGGTGGGGGAAGCTGCTGGAGGGAGGCTTTAGGAAAGGCAGGGGGACAAGCACAGAGCGGTGGCCAGGGTCCAGATAACACTGACTGACCCACCGCTGCCAGGCCCCAGTCCCCTATCTCGTGTTCACCTCAGCCCTCTTGGGGGGCTGCCATTATCTGCATTTTCAGGTGAGGAAAAGGAACATTCGGAGAGACTTAAGTCACTTGCCCAACTTCACACACTTAGGAAGTGGCTCCCCAATTCTTACTGCATTCACTCTCCTGTGGCTTGCCATCACCCCTGGCTGTGGGGCAGGGGCACATGCGTGGGGACGGTCGCAGCAGTGAGGAATCCGTGGAGTTCAGATTCCAGTTCTTTTCCTCACAGCTGTGTGGACTTGGGCCCCTTTCCTTCCTTGCCTGACAGGGAGGGTTTTTATGAGTTTAAAGGAGGTGAAGTGCGCGGTGCACACAGTAGGCCCTCAGGACACACCCCTCTGATGCTCGCGCCCCCTTGGCCTTCTGCTTGAACCCATCCTCACACAGAGCAAGCCACAACTTCCCAGATGACGATGCAGAGTCCACTTGCACAAGGCTCAACTTTTGGAAAGTCTTAGCTCGCAGTGAGAAGTCTCTCCCTGGGGCTCCTTCCTGCTGATTCTAGCCATCTCCCCTGGGCCGTGCAGATGAATGTCCCCCCTTTCTCCTGGCAGTCCAGCCTCTTCGCCAGGACTCACCCTCCTCGGTCCTGTGGTTGTGTGTCTGCCTCGCGGGGTTCCCATTCTCCCCCGTCTCAGGCATCTCCTTGCATTGGCTTCCATGTGTCCAGGCCCCCCTCAGAGTCAGACAAGAGTCAGGCCCTGTTCTCCAGGCACGTCACGATCAGCGGGGAGAAAATGGGCTCTCCCAAGCTTGCGTCTGCTGCTGAGGACCGTGGAGGGTTTCGTGGCAGCCTCATCATGCTGTGCCCTCAGGGAAGGTGTGTGCTTGTGTGCCCGTGGGATGAACAGAGGTTGCTCCGGGGAGGGTCTGCACATTCACTCTGCGACACCCACTCTGGGCTGGTGCCCGCCAGGCAGAGGCTGGCACGGAGGTAAGAACCAGACACAGACGCTAGAGGACCCCGCCCTGTCTGCCAGGAGCTGTGGTCTCATGCTGGTGGGCTGAACACGATGGCAGGGGGGCGAGGTCCAGCGGCTGTGGCAAATGCACGCACCCATCTGGCCGGAGCAGAAAGGGCTGGGGGGAAGCAGGGAGCTGTCGGAAGTGCATCTGAGTCACCTCCTTGCTTCCCTTCACCTTGAACTCAGCCCTGCAATCAACTGCCACATCCTGTTGGTTCTTCCTTCTTACCGTAGCTCGATTCCATGCCTGCCTTCCCACCCCACTGCTCCTACCACACCACACGCCTCCTCATGAGCGTTCTGCAAGAGCCGCTTCTCTCCTCTCCTGCCTCCAGTCTCACCTCTACCATCTAACCTACGCAGCTCACTTCCTCTTCCTCAAGCTTTCACCTCCTGCTTTCACCATGTCATCTTCCTGCCACACACCTTCGTGGGACTCTGCAACCTACAGGATAAACTGTCTTGCCTTTGAAACCCTCAGTCCCACCTGCCTCCTTACCCCCTAGTCTTTCTGCTCGTTCCATGGGATTCCTCTTCCGGTCCAGTGACTCCTCACATTTCCAGGTCTTTTCATCCATATTCTTTTGTGAAGACTCAGTCGAGCCCAAACCTATTTTATTATTTTTCTTTTTTTTTTTAAGATTTTATTTATTTATTTGACACAGAGAGAGAGAAAGACAGAGCACAAGCGGGGGGGAGGGGTAGAGGGAGAGGCAAAGGCAGACTCCCCGCTGGGCAGGGAGCCCGATGGGGGACAGGACACTGGGATCATGACTTAAGCAAAAGACAGACGCTTAGCCGACTGAGCCACCCAGGCGCCCCTAGCCCAAACCTATTTAATTAAATTAATTAATTAATTAATTTTTAAATTAACATATAATGTATTATTTGTTTCAGGGGTACAGG